TCCTTCCTTCCTTCCTTCCTTCCTTCCTTCCTTCCTTCCTTCCTTCCCCACCCCTCTCTTTGTTTTTCAAGACAGGGCTTCTCTGTGTAGCACTGGCTGTTCCAAAACTCATTCTATAGATCAGGCTGCCTAAAAATTGCAAGATCTGTCTGCCTCTGCCTCCTGAGTGCTGGGACTAAAGATGTGTGCAACCACTTATTAAAAAATAAAAGGGTTTTTATTTCTTAGTAAGTAAGAAATGACAGAAATTGGGATGGGTTTCTTAAAAAGAAAGAAGAGAAAAGGAATGTGTTTTTAATTAATTTATTTTTATTAAATTTTTTGACATTGGGAATCAAATCTAGTTAGTACCTTGCACATGCTAGGTAAGTGTTCTACCATTGAGTTGCAGTTGATGGCCCCTTGATTTAATTTTAAAAGAGACATATGAAGAGTTTTAGACAGTGTAGATAGGGCTTTGTGTAGCATTTAGTTTCTACTTTACCAACTTCATGGCCTCTGCCACAACACACTTGTGCCAAATTCCACACATGGGTAATGATTTGCATAATACCAACTATACCAGAGAACAAACAGATCCGCAAGCAGGCTGAAGCAGGGCCTAGGTCTCGCCAATGAGAAGGTAAAGGCCGGAGAAAAACTCAGCTCAAGGCAAGTACTTTTCAAATCCCCAAGACTGCCTTTTTGAGTTTCTAATATTCCCTTCCGGCATACCTTGACTTCCAGAGTCCTTCTGAAATTTAATTAAGATGAAACAGAAAATAAGCTTTGTAGTTTTTAGCTAGCTTTGAAGTAAATGAAACTGTGTATTTATACTATTATTTTTTAGTTTGGTGTAAAACTAGGGAGAAGAGAGCTGCAGCAGAGCCAGAAGCATCTGGGTGATAAAGTGTTGAACACAGCAGCCAATTATAATCTTGTTTTTTTTTTTTTCCCAACCAATTTTATAAACCAAGAAAGAACTAGGCCAAGAGAATTAAACCAGCAAAAAAGATGGGCTAAAAAATAACGATGAGCAATTCTGCAAACACGTACACACCACTGCCGAAAAACTGTGGAGTGATTATGACGCCCCGAACACTGGTTCATCATTAATGTGAATGTGCTATTCGGGAGCTTAACTGACTTTCCCATAAATTCGCTGTTAACGTAAGAATAATATTCTTAGTCTACAGATCATTATGTTAAGGAATTTCAGGAGTTGAATTTCCAACCCAAAAAAACCCTAGAACAACAAACAAGCAAACAAACAAAACAAACAAGCAAACAAACCACCGAAGAAGCCCTTGTGCAGGGCTCCGATTTCACCCACTTTGCAAACAGAAAGCGGGAAGAGCGCAGGAGCTGTCAGGCAGCAGAGCCTTCTTTTCTGCCCTATTCTCTATGTATTATTAATTTGTATTTCTATTTAACGTCAGCTCTTAGTTCATCTCTCCCAGACACTAAGCCTTTCCCCAGGGAGAGGAGACGGGTTGCTATTCTTAGGCATCCCTGTGTGTAATAAGGGTGGAGAAAATGAAATAACCCCATTTGGCTTCTTTAAAAATGACAGCGATGGTTTGGGGTGGGTCAGTCAGGGCTGACCTTTCCCCTCAGGAAGGGGAAACACAGATATGTTTCTGAAGTGCTTAATTAAGCCTTCAGCAGTGAGCCTGGGGAAATTGCAGACCTATAAAACCCTCTGGTTCCAATCAAGAGTCGGTTCTCTCTGTAGTCCTTGTCACCACTCATTTACTGCACTGGTTTGACAATATCTCATATTGACATAAGGCTTTTACGTAAGCTATAAACAGGGGTAGGGAGCTGCAGAGTATAGAAAACAGGGGCAGAGTTACGATCTTCCACATCGTTACTTTCTTCTAAATTTCCATGATTGGGTGAGGTAGCATTTTGAGATGTTTTTATCAGAGCCTGAGAAGTTGATAATCTGACACAGCAAGAGTGAAGCTGTGGAAAGTGCCGCTGCTCACTCACTCTTCCAGAGGGTGAGTGCAACTCAGTCATAATGGAAGTTCTTCAGTGTTCCTCCTCCAAACCTCTTTCGATCAGAAAAGCCTGGAATCTGTAGGCAAGGAAGAAGCCTGTTATATTTGAGGCAGAAAGATTCCAACGTTAAAACTAAACTGTTTCCTGCATCAGGTTCTGGCACTCTAGCCTGTTGCTCATTATAGAACCAGCTCCTTGAGTTTCCAGTCAGAAAACCATAGAATGATAAATAATAAAAAGGAACTCTACAAATATCGAAAACATTTGCCAACAAACTGGTGGCAGCATCAGATAGCTGGATCTCCTAAAATCGCCAACTGGATTGTTACATGGATTGTCTGTATTATGGAACACTCTAGACAAATTATCTTATCTTCTTTATATATGTTACAGTATCACCTCATCCCTGGATTCTTCTTGTATTGCAGGTCCTCATCTTGCCTCTGTTTGGGTTTTTTCCTTTTGTATTCAAAAGGACAAGAGAAAGTAAGTTGCTTGTGCCTACAAAGAGCTTTTTCTAACTTGAAAAATTGGGGGGAAAATTGGAAACCATTTTCTTTCAAAATTTGAGAAGGTAATTTATCAAGAAAAGATAGATACCAACCTGATTACCTTCTCTAAAGAAGTATCTCTTCTCTATGACCTGTGAGAACAAAGAAAGAAAGATCTTAGGGCTTAGCATATTTATCCGGAAATAGTGACTAAGTATAATGTTCATTACTGCAAATTTAGGAAGTATTGCCAGACTGAAAGTCTTTTCAACAGCTCTTGGTGTTTAGTCCAGTGAGTTAAATACAGCGCTGGGCTAGAGAGCTGGTCCAACAGCTGAACACCTGCGGCTTTTGAGGAGGACTTGAATTCAGTTCCCACGACCCACACTGGTCAGCTCACAACCACCTGCAAACTCCAGGGGATCCAAGCCATCTTCTGGCTTCTTCAGGTACCTGCGCCCATGTGACATTCACTCAAACACCTTCTCTCTCTCTCTCAAACCTGATGCTAACAAGACTGAAACTGAGATTATTTCCACGAGTGCCCACTCATTCCCAAAGGAAGGAAGGACGTACCAAACAGGCAATCAGCCGGGTATGTTGCACACTCTGTAATTGTGAGACTCTGCCTCAGGAAGCAGAGGCAGGAGGAGCAGGAGTTCAAGGCAAGCCTGGGCAACTTAGCGAGTTTCAGACCAGTCTGGTTTATGTAGTAAAACTTTGCTTCAAAAGAAAACAAAACTCACAAATAAATAACACATACACAGTAAATAAGGACAGAATAATGTCCCGACAGGTTCCTACATTATGGCAGCAGTTAGGTCAAGTTTCCCCCCAGTCAGCTCCAAAGGGACCCACAAGACAACATAAATCACTTGTTCCCTACAGTGGGGATGCTATCCTCAACAGGGGTCTGTGTGAAGCAGCGAGGAATTCTGTGCCTGCTGGATGTGGACAACACAGCAGCAAGCAGTCAGTGAGCTTCCCTTACAGGCTTTGCTGGCATCCTTATTCAGTAGTGTCAGAGCTCGCTGCCGTTGTCTGCGGGAGGACAGGCTAAAGCAGGGCTGTATCTTCATAAAGCGTCAGGGCTAGTAAAAAGCGGCTCACAAGACATATGTCCTAATGCAGTGGGTCTGAGCTGATGAAGGAGATTATGAAAAGTACTGAATGCACTGGCTTCAGAGGTGCTGCTGTCCTAGGAAAACCTAGTAAGACCTCAGATCAGGTGCCGACGGACTGAGACGTCCGCAATGGGGGTGACGGAGCTGGGAATCCTGACTGAGAGCGCAGCCTGTCCTTTTAGGCCCGGGACAACTTGTGTATCAGCCTAGAAGACAAATTATTCAGGTTCTTTCTCTCCTGGAGACTCTGTCTCACCCGGGCAGAAATACATTCATTGGCCTTTGAGGCAGAAAAAGCTGGTTTCTGGTCCCTATATACCTTCAAACACCGAATCTCTATAGCCCCTAAAGAACTGATGCTTCTCCTTGTTCTCAGCAGGACAGGAACACCATATCATTCAGGCACAGAATCATTTCCAGCTAAGAGAATCTGGAAGACTTCAGACTCTCTCTAGCAGAAGCAGCCTTGGCATTCTGGAAGGTTTCATCTACAGAAAATGGGGCAAACTGTATTGTCAGGTGTCTTGGTTTCATATCCAGTACAGGCTGTGTAAAACCAGCCATTCTCCTTACTGATGTACTCTTTACTGAGATTTAGACTTCACCCCAACTTATAAGGTCCTCTCTTCTGCATATTGTTCCTTTCTTAAAACCAACCAAATCACTCTTTATTTATTTTTAAGTGAGTCTTTGCTGAGAATTAAGGATAGGACAGTCTAAAATCCATTGTTTCGCTAGGATGGGACTTAAAGAGTTTTTATCTTAAAAATACTTAACACATCTGAAAGTATACTATGAGACCTTTTGAGATCAAACAGATCTATAGGATACTGTTCTTAGGGACAAGACTTTGTATTACATGGGGACGTGGATCTAAACTAAGCAGATGTTGCAACACTTTAGGGTTGAAAGCACTATGGAGAGAAAATAGAGTTCCTTGCACCGCTTCCCAAGAAAATGCTAGTATCTGTGCAGCACAGGGGTGAACAGAGGCTGTCAATCTCCCAGTCCCTATGCTGAGAACTGTGGGAATCAGTGTCTGTGGACATCTGCCCCTCCTTGCCACACTCCAGTTAGTGAGATAAAATTTCCCTATTGGACACATAGAGGATTGGACTTCATGGCAATACATTGAAAGGGGACCAGATATCAGAGACTCAAATAGTTACAAAAATTATCTTTTTGGGCTGGAGAGATGGCTCAGTGGTTAAGAGCACCATCTGCTCTTTCAAAGGACACAGGTTCAATTCCCAGCACCCACAACTGTCAGCTTACAACGTGGCAGCTCACAACTGTCTGTAACTCCAGTTCCAAGGGATCTGACACCTTCACACTAATGTACATAAAATTAAAATTAAAAAAAATTATCTTTTCAGAAGATCTCTAAGGAGAATATCTTAAATTTTAAAACTTATTGCTATTTATATATGTTGTGAGCATGTATCTGCTTGATTGTATGTGCACCATGGAGGCCAGGGAGGGTACTGCATCCACTGGTGCTGGAGTCACGCAGGTGGTTGTGAGCAGCACGGTGTGGGTTCTGGGACCTGAATCTGGGTCCTCTGCAGGAGAGGCAACTGCTCTTAACCATTGAGCAATTTCTCCAGTGCTGGAGTGTTTTTCTTGAGAGTCAGCACGATGCAAGGCAGCTGCATAACCTCGAGATGAAGATGAGCAGTGCTCTCACTCGCCACATTCTCATTCTAGTTGAGTGACAAGAGGCCGCTGGCCACAGTCAACATTAGGAATGCAAATGCTTCTCATGGGAAAACAACAGATTCCAGGAGACAGATGAACTGTACAAAGTAACAGCAACATTACACAGGAAATATTAATAGCTGAGAGAATAAAGGGCTTTAACCTCCCTCCGTTCAGTGCCTTTTGGGTGATGGAGTAGTGAGTAATTACACAAAACGCTAAAAGCTAGGGAACCATAAATTGTTCTGATATCTTTTTAAGCACCCAAAGGCCACTGAATCCAATAGCCTTTACTCTTTGCTTAGAAAATGCTGGCGAAGGAAAAAGGGCGTCAGCAGGCTTTGAGCAATTACCCCAACAGATAAGAGAGATCAAAACAGGTATTCAGGCTGTGGAGTTCTGGGCAAAGGGACAAAAGGACACAGCACTGTACCAAGAGTTTAAGCTATCATATGTTATGTTTAAAGATAACTTAATTGAAGCCATTACCTTATCAAAAAATCTACTGAGCTTGACGGCGTTGGAGGAGCCTGCCGCTGAGGACCGTGGGTTTGTGCAGTCCTGGAACACAAAGGCGCACAGAGAAGTCAGGCTGTGGGGCTGCGGTGTGCGCGGCCCTGGCGCGCCTTTCTGGACTACATCACTCGCGCTCTCACGACACACGAGGCGATATTCAGACCACGATGCACGGACAGGAAGGCACCAAAGACGGTGAAGCCTTAGTCCTTGCCATTCGAGCAATACTGGAGGACACTGAGACAGCAGACTCATCACCACATAATTCCCGAAAGAAGCAGAGTTACTAGCAGTTCATTAGCAAAACCAAGGGACTCATCAGGTGACCCACTATGTTTACTCTGAAAATTGGATACAGAGTCGCACAAACAGGACATACTTATTTAAGACCAGGAACTGAGTGTTCTACTAATTAAGTACTATGCAGTCTGCACAATAGCTGGAAACAGGAAAATAAGATTTGGCTAAAGAACAAACAGCTGCCAAGGATTTCTCCATTTCCTCATCTACCTCAGACACAATGGTTTTGACAGTAATAAAACCATGGATATACATTATTATTTAGTAAGAGCCTTTACATAGGAGAGCACGGAGCTCAGAGGAGGTAACACGACAGCTTGTGAATGCCAGAGCCACGACATCTTTGCTTGTCACCAGTGCTGGCCTTCTCAAGAGACAGAGCTGGCTTTGATGTTTACCTCAAATACCACCAAGACCAAACTGCAGACATCATTCAGGCTCTTTTGTGAAGATAAGTGTCTTGCATGCATCTGTGGGCTAATTGTGCCCCTTGAGGAATTTCTGAAATTTCTCTTGCTGTATTTAATCATGCTTTTTTTTTTTTTTAAAGTATAACTTCCATTTTATTTGTCCAAAGTCCAAAGTGTTTTTTCTTCTGTCCTTCTGTCACCAAAGCTTATGTTTTTATGTGGACTTTGGTGGAGGTCGTGGTGCAGCACCAGTAGGTCTAAATCGTGGCTGGGGTGGTTGGTCCTTTCTGGCTTCACCTTGCTATAAATGGGACGCTTGCACAGTAATGCAGCTTGACACAGAGCTTGGGAAGCACAAAGGCATCAAAGACACTTGCTTCAGATATGTCCCTCACAGCAGCGGCCTCTACAATGTTCTGAATGACAAATTTCTTAACGGCCTTGTTCTTGGGCATGCGCTGGGCACAGTTTGTGCAGAGAATTGGCTGTACATGGCTGTGGCCCTTTTCAGTATCACCATTGTTTCTTCTTCTTTTTCTTCTTTTTTTTTTTTTTTTTGGTTATCTTGGAGCCAAGATAGGAAAGAGCAATAATGCTATTTTGTGACAGCCAGGCCCAAATGTTCCTCCTGATACATTTAGTAACAATTTCTTGTTTTGTCGGTACCCAGCATTTCAAGGATCACACTTTAAACAATGGCCAGAAACTGTACTAGTTCTCTACCTACCCGCTCCTCCCTAAACACACAAAGAGAGAGGGAGAGGGAGGAGAGGGAGAGAGAGGCTGACTGACTGTAAGTATAATGGTTTCCGAGGATCCTAACATAATAGGGAAATCAGGAATCTTGGAAGCCAGTAAACTCTGTATTCACACATCTGTGCCAACATTTCCAGACTGTGTAACCTGCTTAAGTCATTATGGCTCTAAAGTTGGGCTTACTCATTTGGGAAATGGGGATGATTCTACTCAAGCTTTGTGAAATTCAAAGAGGTACTGCATGTCTGTCACACGGCAGACACCGAGTATCAACTCTTTTCCACTGTAAGAAAATGCTATCAGATTGAAGTTTTAAGTACAAAAAGATTTAATGTAATACAGAAAATCCTACACGTGGATTAAATACCCTGGTATAACACTGTGTGTACCTCTGCATTTGCAATAATGTTTGCCCACATGTCTGTACCAGTGGGGACAGACCAGAATCAACCCTAGACCTGTAGTAGATGTTTTTGTGAAATGGGTATTGATCACCTCATCGTCAGAATATTAAATGATGACTCTAAATAAGAGTTAAAATTACTAAATTAAAAAAAAAAACTAAATTAAGCAGCGAACAAATAAGTACCCGTCAACTCCATAAAAATTAACTTACTGGACCCCACAATTCTAGTTGCGCAGGAAATCTGAAACCGCCTGCTTTTTAGGATGACAGTTTTAGAGTTAAAAGAGCCATCGGCCATTGATCATGGCTGAGGGAAAGCCTGAAAATTAGTAGCTCTAAATGACTACAAAATGACTACAAACTAAGTAAACACACATGAGAAACAGTACTATAACATAATACCCTAGCACCTAGTTTTATTCAAATAATTTGCATTTAATAGACAATGAAGGATACACTGACAAGCTAAAGGCATGTTAATATGTAAACTCTTGGGAGATCCTAAGTGCTTAAGTCTTACTGCTTGTCTTTTTGTTTTGCTAACAACTGAAGTCGGCCTAGCCTCTGTAAGCTAAGGAGGAGGACTATATGCCCAGCTGGCTGTCACAGACACCAGGAGGAACTAGACAAAGATACATTCATAAACATATTAAAGTTATAGTTGGAAATAATTACATGTATTTAATGGCAAATTACCCTTTGAAAAGAATGTGCAAACAGAGTAACCCTAGTGCTAAATCTACAGAGAGAACATATTTAGATAACCTATATAATAGGGACCCTCTGGATACTGTGGTCCAACGCTGACTATCAGGATATTTACATTGAGCAGTCCATGGTGGCAGCTTCCAAACTGAGACACAAAACTGAGGCACAGTCAAACATAAAGAACAATGGATGGCAGGCAGAGGCTGGGTCAGACGTGGGGGAGAGGCAGTGCTTACAGATGCTCATTCACTGCGCAAAAGGCTGACCTGTGTAATCTGTACAATAAAAGCACCGGCAGAGGCTGTAAGATACTGGTAAAATATATGTTTTTCATGTATAAGGTCCAGCACCACATTAAAAAACCAAATAATTAAAAGAGCCCCGGAGCTCCTGCCAGCATTATGAGCACAAAGCTCTAACTTGAAGAATAGTTTTTGTAAACATTCATAGGCGCTACTGGTAATAAAATAGGCAGTGAGCTTTGGGTAACCATTGGTATAGATGATTTAAAGGAGTTCTTTTACTGCCAGCATTTTAAATTTTAGTTGAATCAAGTAGGAAATAGGCTTAACTGTATAACCCAGGCCCTACAGTCAGAGCACCTTGTTTGGCTTTGATGACATGTTTCTCTCATCTTCATCTTAAGATGGAGATAAGAGTGCCTACGTTAAAACACTGCTGAGGAGAAGATGGCGTGTGTCACGTGCTACCTGCAAAGCCTTACAGCAGCATTTGGTGAATAACTGCTCTGAAAGTGCTGACCACCAGCACTGCACACACGCAGTGATGGGTACTGACGATGTCTCTATCACGGAAGCTGAGGGCAAGGTCTTCTGGGTAACGTGAACTGGTTTATATGAGCTCTGTATCCCAGCCTCATCAGCCCTCTGTTCTAATTAAACTAGCTACTTTTCTCAAGAAGGAGTTTGCTCTACTCACAGAGTATCATTTGAGGATTCCAACAGCTCAGTGTGAAAGCTCAGTGCAAGAGACCCTCATGTGACAGTCTAGACATACGGATTTTGACCTCTTTTGGTATTTGGACTGGCGAGCATCTACTTTGAGTATAGAACTTCTTGGATTAGACTATAACCCAGACATACATTAGTGAGAATACATACCAAATTAATCTCTTCAGCATTGAAGTCCTCAGCCAAGAAGGCAGTCCTAATTAATACTTCATGGCGCTTGGTTTCATGAATCTGGTCCAGTTTAGTCCCTATTACCAACAGTGGGATTTGGTTATCAGCAAACTGTTCTCGGTCATAATCCCTGTGATAAATAACCATGAAGAGGTAAATGGAGTTTACCTTTCCAGTGTAGATATGTTATTAGTAAACTCAAGATGCCTACACAATTTTAGTGATATTTAACTGATTGCTGCTCGTCATCACCTATAAATCCTTTTTTTCTCCTAGTTTCTTCCATGTGCTTGTTCATTATCAATCCATCATCTACTGGATCCCAACTATTCATCTTGTTAGTCAGAGGCTGTTCCTGCGTGTCTTCATGACAGACACTTGGGTCATTGAGGGCCTACCAAATTCATGATTGTGTGACTTAACTGTGCACAACCCACTGTCTTCAACAGGTAACAGCTCCAAAATTTCTCAGTGTAAAAGCAGAAAGTGGATTTACAGTTCAGTGTATGGAAAACCAAGAAGCCTAGCCTGCAATGCAGGTACTTTGTGCACAGATTCTCTAACTTGCATATGTACTCCCAGCTCTGAGTGCTTAAAAAAAAATCTTTTCAGAGTGAAAAGAATGAGGGAAGCTTCAGGCTAGAGTGAATACAGCTTGGAATGGAAGTAGAAGAAAAATAGCCGGAATGTTAAACATAATAATAAAAGGCAAGAAAATTAGTACCAAATAATTATCCTAACATGACAGCATGAGAGACAGAGGCCAAAGACGCGAGCATCAGACTCTCTAAGGGTGAGAAGGGGGTCTATTATAATCCATTTTCTTTCCACTTTACCCAAAGGCTTGAATAGCAATACAAATGATAGTTCTCATTACTGAACGGAACATAAAGTCCATTGTTGTTAATTAATTGAAATTCTATTTGCCTATTAGAAACAAAGTAGTTCTGGATTTCTGACACGTTATGAGCTCAATTCACAGCAGTCAGCAAAAACTGCGTTTGAACAATCAATACTGCATAATCCAATCAATGATCTGCTGGAGCGCAGCTTCTTTCCCTTTCTTTTTGAGAGTCTACACTGGGGTAGAAGAGGGTCACGTGCTACATCTCTCCACCCTTCATGATGATCTTGCAGAGCCTCAGCTATAGTTCCTCTCAGAACACGGGTGTTCCTCACACAAATTTCACCATCTGTTTTATCTGCACTGAAGCCAGTAACAGCTCAAGTTCAAGGCCTCTGAAGCAGACCCCCTTGCCTGCCTGCACACTCCTGACTTAGGAGACGTGGGAAAGACTGAAATGTGAGTTACTAGAGAATGAGGCTTTCAGGGCACTGCCTTCAGGATTATTTCTTTTTCTTATATTCACAAATTCTCTCATGAAGTTTTGTGTTTTCTATCAAATTCATCTTTGATGTGCTCTGCTATTAAAGTCTTATATAATCTATTGTAGATTACCATGTAAGTATATATACCTTGCTCTCTTGTTTTTCTTTTTAGCTTTTCATTTTTTTCAAGAACTATATTCACTGAACCACAAATGTATAAAATGATTCACCACTTAAATATTAATTTCATGGAAAATTGTACCACATTGACTTTGGTTTTCCTTATCACCTTTTTCATAAAAATCATATAGCCACTTGAAATTAGATCTTGAAATCATTTTAAAATCACCATGTGAAAAACTGATGGAGAATTTTATTATGAACAAATATGGCTAGTACTTCCTTAAAAGTAAGAAAACAAAACAAAACAAAAAAACCCCAGATCATTTTATGTGCATAATAATGCTTTGAGAAACAAAAACAATTATTCATTTTTTCAACACTATAACTGAAAGAATGAAGTTTTAAGATTCAAGAAATAAACTTAAAAGATACAATAAGGCTTTCGATTTGCTGTTTCATTCTTTAAAGTGGTGCTAAGGATTGAACCTAGGGCTTCAAGCACTTTAGAGAAACTCTCTACTGAGCTATAGCTACAGCTGTTTTCTTGGATTCTGTATGCAAATGCTACCCTTTACTCCCTCCTTACACATTACAGGGCCAATGAGATATAGTCTCTACATCTTGTTTTACATCCTCTGTAAACATCTCTATTTTACTACACAGAAACCTTCCTGATGCTTTCTTAAAGAGCTGAGTAGAGTATTCCAGTATGTGATTAGACCATTATTTATTTAACAGATTTTCTTTTGGACCTCAGAGCTGTTTCCAAAGCTTCTGCTGTTACAAACAATGCAGCCCCAAAGCAATGGTGCACTATTGTTTTAATACGTGTGCAGGTGCACCTCGAGGACCAAAATGAAGCCGCAAAGTGAAAATGCAGCTTCTGTATCTGTAACAATTATGTGTCTGGAATTGTTACTGCCACCTTGAATTCCTTAATACCAATATGAGTATTTTCTGGTATAAACAAACTGTGTGCTACTTTTAGTTTGAGAATAAAATTTCTTGAGTAGTAAAAATCAATGAAACTAAAAGATCTTTGAAAAGTTTAGAAAATCAACAAGGGAAACAAAGAGAAAACATAAGTTACCAAGATCAAGGATGAAAAAGCGCATGTCACTGCAGACTCCAAAAAGATAATGAGTAATATTATACACAACCCTGTTCACAGACGCTCAGTAACTTAAAGGAAATGCATGAATTCTCTAAAGCTCAAATTAGCCAAATTCACTTGAGACAAAACAAAGTACATGTACCATCCACTAACTATTAAAAAAATTGAATCTGAAGTTAGAAACCTTTCCAAATGAAATATCCAGGCCCCAAAGGCTCATTGGTAAATTCAATCCTCCAAAGAAGAAATAACATCAAATATATACAACATCTTCCCCAAAACAGGACAGGAAGGGGCAATGAGGCCAACATTATTCTCAAAGCAAACAGACAAAGACATTATAAAAACCAAAAGTATAACCAATATTCCATATTAACACAGAACAAAAAAAAATTGCAAGAAAACATTAACTCAAATCTAGCAACATAAAAAAATGAAAGAACGAACACACCATGATCATGGAATGAAAGGGTGGTTCAATATCTGAAAATCAGACAAGTTCTACCACACTAGCTATGTGTAGAAGAAATCCGATGTTCATAACAACTCACACACAGATACACAAACACACACACACAGACACACAGACACACACACATACATAAACACACATACACATACACACACACCCCTTTATTACTTTTGAGTCATTGTGACCAAGTACCTGATTGAAACTCCAAGGAGGAAAACTTTATATGCTGGCTCCTGGTCTCAAAGGGAGTAGACACAAAGATCAATAGAACAGAGATCACAGAAGGTGACCTGTACAAATATGGTCAACTGACTTTGTCAAAGGAATGAAGACAATTCAATGAAGATAGGATAACCTTTTTAACAAACGATGCTGGGACCAGTGAACATTCAAATTTAAAGTTAAGCCCAAATCATACATTTTATATAAAACTAAAGAAGACCATAAATCTAATGTAAATCCCATATTATAAAATGTATAGAAAAAAAAACACAGGAGAAAATCTGTATGATCTGAGATTAAGCAAAGAGTTCTTAGATATGATACGGAGAGCAAAATCCAGAGTAGGAAAAGTAAGTAATTAGATTTCATCAAAATAAAAACCACTGCCATGAAAGATGCTATTCAGATAATGGAAAGACCATGTAGAGCTAAAAAGAACTAGTCACACATCTTACAAAGGCTTATTTTGTAAAGTGCATTCTCAGGATTGAAATCACACTTAAAACCAATTATAAAGTAGTTCCGGGCTTACCCATTTGTTACCAGGACTCCAGTTGGAACCGAATCCCTGTTGAGAACTTCCAACGACCAGCGGTATAAATTTTGAGATGACTTCTTATTTGTTAAGTCGTGTACTAAAATAATGCCTGAAATAATCAGGTAACACGATGTCAGGACTTATCTGCGCCTCTTACTTTACAGCCAACCAAGGCCAGCTTAGTAAGTACAGACCTAACAACCTAGTACTCACGTATGACTAACACAATCAGACAAGGACTTCAAAATGTCCTTTAAAAAAAAACACTTGCAAATAACTAACTAGAAAGCTTTGCCACTAACATACTTTTAAAATGTTTGTTTTTTCTTCCAGAGGCTAGCACAATGTCATAAAATATTCAGACGCCTTTTCAACTTCATCCTGCAGCCAGAGTGCCTACTCCATGCTTGGAGCTGCTTATAGAAGCACTTTACCAATAAAGGATATTATTTATTAACAGATTACATTATTCAAAAGTTACACTGTTTCTGCACTGGTAAACTGTATTAAAATGGCATCACTTTAGTTTGTGTAACTGCTATTTTTTCTTTTAAAAGGAGAAATAAAAACAAGAAATAAAAACAAATACTACACAGAGGACACTGGCTTTGCTCACTGTGTTGAGCAGCCTGGCCTGGAATTCTATGCTCCTGCGTCTTCCTCTCAGATCTGAGATACAGGTGTGTGCACACTTTCGGCTTACTTGCTATTCTTCTGCTCCTACATTTTTACTTTTATCTGTGTGCATGTGTGTCGTGTGTCTGTGCTTGTGCACATGTGTGCAGGTGCCTGTGGGGGTAGGCAGGGTACTGGATCTCCTGGAGCTGAGATTACAGACAGTTGTTGGCTACCATATGGGACTGGGAGTCAGAGCTGGGTCCTCCCCCAGAGCAGACAGGGCTCTTAACTGCTGAGCCACCCGTTAGCTGCTCAGTTGGTGATCTTAAATAGAAGAAAACATTGTGCTGTGGATATTTTGAACGTCATCAGCTCAAGAGTTTAATGCTGCTGTTCTTTGAATCCATTGCTAGCTCTGTAAGCTACTTTAAGAGCTCTGGTTGGAGTGTCTCGTGCAGACAAAGTAGGTAATTATTATAATAAAATGCAAATCAAAGAAAAACTTCAATGCCTGTTGGAATCTAGAACATCATCCTGAGATACAAGGTCCACAGATTTTCAAACTCCTTTTTAAATTAAAATTATTTTTTAAATTCCATAATCAGTATAACATTTACATAATTTACATCCTTCCTGCTATCCCCCCCAACTTTTCCTGTGTCCCCACCCCAATTCAGTCTCGGATTCCTGCCCCCTTTTTAATGTTACATATATATGCACTCATAAATACAGCCTGCTGAGTATGCTTAGTGTGACCTGTAGGTTTAAGTGTTTAGGGCTGACCACTTGGGGTTGAACAGGTGGCCATGGAATCATCCCTCTTTGTCCTTGGTTTCCCTTCCCCCTTCCTCTTAGTTGCCTTTTAAGTCAGGGTTCTGCTGTTATAGCTTTGGCTGGCCCCAAACTCAAGTTCTCCTGCCCCCGCTTCTCAAGTGCAGGCTTGTGAGGCATGTGCCACTCCAGAGCTCTTAAAGTAACAAGGACATGGAACCATCCCTAGGGAAGACTGGATCTCTTTCAGCGGCCACTAATTGTCTCCCAGCTCTTCGTCTCGGGGTAGGCTCTTGTGAGACTTATTCTACTCATCATTGACATGTTAACTGATGTTGTTGTGTAGGTCTTGTTTAGGTGAACATATTTTTGAAGTAGCAAGAATTTGCAGCAGGGGTTCTGACAGTAAAAGATTATAGGAAGGCAGAATAAACTCTCACAGGGCAAAAGAATGAGATACTGTCACCCAGGCTGCCTACGAGAAGGACAACAAAAAGTTTTAAAATTTTATTTTTGAGAATCTTTAGGGAAGACTTTTGAGCTTTTAAGGGTGTTTGAGCATTCTTTTTCTAATTCTTCTTAAGTGTTTGTTTTATAGACTATGAGCAGAAAAGTTAAGAATATATTCTCTTGGGAATATTCTAATCTAAGGGGCCAGAGATACTTCATAGGCTTTCTGGTGAGAACAGTAGCCTGGGTCATCAGAGTGGGAAAAAGAAAGGGAACTTATTTTCAGTTATGTTTCACTTGGGATGCTTACAGAGGCCAAGGAACTACTAAGGGGTTATGGGTAGGGGGTTTAAAGGGAGGTGAGATAGAATGAACTGATGTTAAGGGTTAAAGGGAATAATGGAACAGAAAAGGGTAAATTTGGTTTGGGGTGGTTTAGTGAAGAAGTATGGAGAGGGATAAGTACCACTAAAGACCTTTTGAAAAAAAAAAATATATATATGGAAACCTACTACTGTTGAGCTTCTAAGATGAATATACTTAGAGAGTAAAACGGAGTAACCCTGTAAAAAGGCAACAATGCCCTGGCTAGACAGCAGAGGCTAACGCATTGGACTGTGAAATACAAGTTTAGACCAAGAGTTGTAAGCACATTTGGCCCCATGCTTGATGCAAACATCTTTTTGTAATTCTCCTCCCACTTTTGAAGCTTTAGCTCCTTCCTGACCCAGCACAGGTCCTATTTTTATATTCCCAGTAAGATTAGCCCAGCATGTCATGGCACTTCATAGCAAAAGATCAATACTTTTAGACCACTAAAACGTAGGAAAAATGAAAACCTTTTACCATTCACAGAGTTGTAGAACACTGCTCGTGTGCTTTTCACACTGCTGGCACTGCCCACAGAGCCTCCAACATCCCATAGTTCTATATAGTAGGTCTTCTCTTCAGGGGTTCCTTCTTTGTAGTCATGAACCTAATAGATTAATTAAAATAATTATTAGAGCTACCGAACACGCTGGTGAGCAGCGATCACTGCTACCAGCATCTTGCTCTCCGATTCTTATCTTTCTTGCTCTCTTTACTGTCCCGACCTGAATTTAGTCTTGCACTCTGTTCAACCCCACGCTTGATGCGAACATCTTTTTGTAACTCCCCTCCTACTTTTGAAGCTTTAGTTCCTTCCCTGCTAAGCACAGGCCCCAGGACCCATTCTTATCCTCTCTACCTTCCTTAACACATCATTCATCTGACAGAACTCCAATCACGGCAACAGCCTCTTCTCCCTCTGTTCTGAACCTAAATTCAGCTTCCTGAATTCGGAGCTCAGAAAACTACATCCTAGTAGACAGAATTGGATTCCGGTCTACTGGATCCAAGCCTGGCCGTAGAGTCTTCCTTCCATCAATTTTGCTGCCCACTTTGCTTCCCCTGATAATAATTTCATACCTTCTCATTCTTTTTGAAATTTCCAGTATCTCTTCTCTAGACTCAATAAAAGTTAACTTTGTTTCCTAGGAAATAATAATAATACTAATAATAGTAACAATAATAAAACTTCCTCCACTTGCTCGTCTATCTCCTTGAATGTATGCCCATGGGATCACTTTCTTCCTGCTATTACCTTAGGCTGTCTGTGCCCCTAAGGCTAAGTCTGAGACCTCTGTGCAGTAAATCTCATCCTATTTCATCATTCAAAGATGCAGTTTCCAGCACTGTATTTCTTCCTCCGAGGGATCATTCTCAATATACAAATTTTGTCTTCCTTCAGCTGCCATGCTGTTTCTCTGTTCATTTTCACAGAAAAGGCTCTGCAAAGTTCTCTGTTTCCAGCTCTGTTTTTCCCTCAAGTTTTTCAATGTACATTTGCTTCTGAGAACAATACAGGAGCAGTATATTTACAACATTTCCATCCTTCCCTCTCCTCTTCTCCAATTCCTACTGTGTCCACTCCCCACTCCTTCTCAAATTCATGACTTCAATACTGTGTGTGTTAGTGTGGATACAATCTTCTGAGTCGATTTTTAGTGTATGTAGATTCGTTTAGAGTTGACCACTTGGGGTTGGCTCTCCTACCAGGGAGTCTCCCTTTCTTAGCAGCCACTGATTCCCTGTAGCTCTTCATCAGGGTTGGGAACTTGTAAAATTTCCTCCATCCACGTTGGCATGTCAATTGGTAGTATACCACAGGTCTTGTTTAGGTGATGATATTGTTGAGATTTCATGGGTGCAGTTTATGACTAGAAGATAGTACACTTTTACATACGTCTGTACATAATAATAATTATTATTTGGGAGGCACATACCATGATGTACGGTGGCTGTCAGAGAACAACTTGTGCTAATCAGTTCTCTGCTTCTACAGGGTGGGTTCCAGGTCATTCGGCTGAGCAGCGAACACCTTCACATGCTGTGCCTCACACTGGCCCTCACACTCTCTTTTTCAAATATGTATTTATTTTTGTCTTATGTGCCTAAGTGTATGTATGTGTACCATGCACATGCCGGGTACCCACGGAGGTCAGAAGAGGGCATCGGATCCCCTAGAAACACATTCTCTTTAGAACTCCTTTCTATACGACCTTTGCACCATCTCTCTGTTAAACTATTTCTGATAAGGATCATCAATTATCTCCACATTGCTAATGCCAATGGTCCTTTCCAACTTGCTTAATTAATGCTTAAATAAATAAATCCATATGCAATGAGTCCTAAGAATTTAAAACTATAAGTTAATTGCAAGAAAGTTATTACTGTATTAAGCACAGCTCTTGACGCAGTACGAGGCACCTGCTGCTTTACTAAGAGTCTAATATGACAGGCAGAGCAATACCTAACTGTAAGGAGTAGGTTTTTTATTTGCTCTTGTTGTTGTTGTTGTTTTGGTTTTTGTTTGTTTTTTAAAATTCAAATCAAGTCACTAAGGATCTGGTAGTTCAGGACAATCAAGGCTTTATGGCAATACAGATGGGCTTCCTCAACAGGAAGCAGGAGCATATATGCTAATCATCAAATGGAGAACTGAAACTCTCCTCAGTACTGCTGCCTCTCACATTTCTACTGAACAACAAATCACGATGCCATGAGGGCTCATTTCATTTAAGTACTTCAGTGTAAGTTTTAAATGGAAACAAAGCAATGAAGAGAGTCATACACTGCAAAAGAGCACAGCTGTTAACAAGTTCAGTTCAGTAACTGCCTGTACAGTTACTTCTAGAAAGAAAGATTTTGAGGAGAGAGCTGGAAGAAAAACAGGTGGGAAACAGCAACTAAGAGATGCAACAGGTACCCTGGGCATTTGAGTTACTGTCCATTGCTTTTTTTCTAGTAACTTCTCGTTTGCCTTCAGTCAAGCTCATTTCTTCTTTAAAAAAGATCATCCCCTATATTCTCTTTTTCTCCATTAACTTATTTATTCACTTTACACACTGACTGCCACCTCCCCTCCCGGTCTCTTCCTCACATACCCCTTCCTCCAATCTTCCCCCCTTCTTCTCAAAGAAGAGAGAGGTCCCCCATAGATACCAACCTGCCTTGGCACGTTAAGTAACTGCAGGACTAGGCACATCTTCTCCCACTGAGGCCAGACAAGGCAGCCCAGGTAAAGGAACAGGATCCAAAGGCAGGCATCAGAGTCAGAGAGCCAGCCCTCCTACTGTAGTTGCTGGAGGACCCACATGAAAACTAAGCTGCAAATCTGATACATAGTGGGCCTAGGACCAGTCCATGCATGCTCTCTGGTTGGTGGTTCAGTCTCTGTGAGCCCCCATGGGCCCAGGTTAGTTGACTCTGTAGGTCTTCTTATGGAGACCTTGATCCTTCTGTCTCAATCCTTACCCCAAATTTTCCATAGGACTCCCCGAGCTCTGTCTAATGTTTGGCTGTGGATCTCAGCTTCGGTTTTCATCAGCTGCTGAATGAAGCCTCTCAGGAGTTATGCTAGGCTCCTATCTACAAGCATAGACATTGGAGGTGGATGGAGGGAGGGAATGGAGTAGGAGAAGGGATGGGGAGGGGAGCAGGGCGGGAATTAGGAATAGGGAGATGATGGGGGGAGGCAGGGGGCCACGTGAGAGAACAGAAATCAGAGGTGGCGGTCACCTCTGGGACATGACAGATACCTGGGATAGGGGAGGCCCCAGGAAGTCTATTGGGGTGACCCTTGCTGAGACTCCTAGCAGTGGGGGATATGGAGCTTGAAGTGGCCCTCTCCTGTAGCCAGGCAGGACTTCCAGTGGAGGGATAGAGACACCAACCCACTTCCAAAACCTTCAACCCCAAATTTGTCCTGCCTACAAGAAGTGCAGGAATAAAGATAGAACAAAGATTGAGGGAACAGCTAACCAAAGCCTGGCCCTACTTGAGACCCATCCCATGTGACAGAACCAGCCCTTGACACTATTAATGTTCCTCTGCTATGCTTGTAGACAGGAACCTAGCATAAGTTCCCCTATATTCTACACCCATTCTCTCCTTTTCAAAAAGCCTCTAACCTTCAGAAAAGACTGACTAAAATCTATGTCTATTTCCTGGCTGCCCGGACACTCCATTTGGGTTTTTGCCACTAATATGTAATCATTCATGTAAAGGTTAGTGGTAACTTCACTAAAACCTAGTATCTGCTTTTCCTTTCTACCTTACATCTCAGGCATTTTATAGAAAAGCCCAATACCGCCTCCGCTCAGGAACTTGCCATGTTTGCTCATGCAGTAGCTCACCCTTTTTTGCTACACCCTACTTTGATCAACCTTTCTCTGACCCCTCTTTTCAGAACTTCAACTCCTTAAAGACCCCTTTGCCCCCAGGTTTTCCCTGAGTTTTTCCTGACTCACTGGCTGTCATGGTTTAAGATGATCTCTATATACATGACTGCAACTCCAAATGATCTCCAACATTAGCACCATTAATTGCTTTCCGGTCAACTTCAGTTAGATAGCTCATAGATACATCCCTTTTGCCACCATGCTTAGAACTGATTTCTCATGATTTCCTTTTCTCCCTATGACAGAATCCTTGGGAGGAGGGACAAGCCAGGCCACCCAGTCACCAGCATCCGATAGAACCCCGTATTTCCACACGCAGCTCACGTTCTTTTCAACGGCAATCACCTTATTCACCACAGCTGCCCTGCCATGTCCTTCAGTGATGGGCATGCCCCCAAGTAACCGCTAGCAGCATGTACCTACTGGAGCTCGTGCAACCACTGAACTAATTTTTTTCTTTTAGTAAACTCAAATTTGTTGGCACATGAGGCTAGTTGCTGCCATACGGAGCTCCATCCGAGTGCTCATTTCCTCACGTTGTTCCAGAATAAGAGGCAGTAACAGTGTGATTAAGGACCACAGGCTTCTGGGTCAGGCTCTCTGGACTTGAACTCCAATTCTGTCCCTTGCTAGCAACACGACCTTGACAAGTCACATAGAGCTTCTGTGCCTCAACTGCTTCCTGGGCTGCAGGAGCACCGCCACCGCCCACCTGACAGAGCTGTTGCGGAAAAATCACTAAACTACTGTGTACATGGGTTCCTAGCCAAAGCAGGCACCGAGGAAACATTAGCTCTCATTACTACTGTCACTTTGAAGACCACTATATACAGACCTTACCCCTCCAAGCAAATCCACTTCCAATCCCTAGCGAGGATAAAAACCATGCCTTTTTATTTTTCCCTAGTGCCTGAACATTGTTTCCTTACCCAAAGAGAAATTCAATAAGTATTGATTGCATGCAATGTACAAGTAGCAGAGTTAAAATCCCATTAAATTGAACTAGAAATGACAAATCAATTTCCTTATTTATAATCTGTGAAAGGATTAAGCTCTAAACATCTTGTTGTCATTATTAGGAGTAGCCATGCGCTCATCAGCCCATTAACTTTGAGGTAACAAAGTCAGAAACCAGGAATGGAAAATACCACAAAAGGAAACTCCTTACTCAGTTCAGTTATGGGCCTCTGCACAGAATAAATGGATCCAGAAT